GTGCTCATTTTACGTGAATTGTAAAATGAAAAACAAAACTGCAGTTAAGTATCTCAAGTTCCTCAACCTTACTGGATTTTAAAACAAAGAGAACAGGAGAAACAATGATTTTTCCAATCTAACTACAAGCAGAAATGACAGAAAATAAATCTGTAGTATTCTGGTCATACAACTTAAATTTCCTTTTCTAAGCCATGACACATTTTTGTTCTTCCTGTTTTCTTCTTTTTTAATATAGAAGGACTTCAAAACATAAATGAAAAGATAAAAACTCTAATATGGGAAGGAACCAGAATGAAACTGGTTTTTTTTTTTTGTAGTGAAGAGACAATTTTTATAAAACCATACAAATTAGAAACGTCATGCAATGGAAAAGAATGGAAATGACATAATGGCTAATATTATGCCAGTTTCCTGTGCTCTGAGAAGAACTTGCTGCATTAAATATGAACTTGACCTATTTGAAGTATTCAACTCCTTATGATAACCTAAGCTCCATTCTAACTAGAAAAATACTACAAAATGCCCTTCTACCAATCTCAGCAGAAAGCCTGATGAATAACTACCACAAATCCTGTCTTTTGATACAAGTCTCCCTCTAAATGCAAAATATCAAGCTTCTTACCATGTGGTCAGAAGTTATCATGGGAAAGAAATGGCTGGCAAAGGAGCCATGGATATACAATGGGGAAATGACAGCCTCTTCAACAAATGGTGTTGGCAAAACTGGACAGCGACATACAAGAGAATGAAACTGGATTATTGTCTAACCCCATACACAAACGTTAACTCAAAATGGATCAAAGACCTGGATGTAAGTCATGAAACCATAAAATTCATAGAAGAAAACATAGGCAAAAATCTCTTGAATATAAACATGAGCAACTTTTTCCTAAACACATCTCTTCAGGCAAGGGAAACAAAATAAAAAATCAACAAATAGGACTACATCATGCTAAAAAGCTTCTGTACAGCAAAGGACACCATCAGTAGAACAAAAAGGCATCCTACGGTATGGGAGAATATATTCATAAATGACATATCTGACAAGGGATTAACATCCAAAATATATAAAGAACTCATATGCCTCAACATCCAAAAAGCAAATAACCCTATTAAAAAATGGGTGGAGGATATGAACAGACAATTCTCCAAAGAAGAAATTCAGATGGCCAACGGGCACACGAAAAGATGCTCCACATCGCTAATTATCAGGGAAATGCAAATTAAAACCACAAAGAGATATCACCTCACACCAGTTAGGATGGCCACCATAGAAAAGACTAGGAACAACAAATGCTGGCGAGGATGTGGAGAAAGGGGAACCCTCCTACACTGCTGGTGGGAATGTAAACTAGTTCAACCATTGTGGAAAGCACTATGGAGGTT